AAACAGACGTTCAAAGCAAAGAGCCTCTTTGAGACTTCAACCGTTCATCGTAACCGGAGAAAATACAATCTGTTCAGTAATGATGAAAATGTAGAAGGCGTTGTATAAACGACTATGTAAACTTTTTTTTACGCAATAGGAGAGTCATAAGTAATGGTCAGGCGGCATTCAACACTGGCAGCAAAGTCGGTAAGTGTATTCAATCGCTTGAGAAGACATTAGTAAAAAATAAACCTTGAATAATAAATTGAGGTTATGGCGTCTCACAAAATTATGGGATATAAAATCAGATGAGAACGCTGTCTTCAAGAATTATGTAGTAGTAACAATATTCCCGCCAGAATTTCAGGCAAGAAAAATGATGTGAATGTTAATCCAAAAAAAAAAAATTTTTGTAAGAATATGTCCTGTAAGAAATTCACAGAGGATTCTCTCTGTAAAATGAAATCTTTAGAGTGTCCTAAAATTAAAATTTGTAAATGTTGTAGCATATCTACGCACAATAATGGGTATGTCCCCATTCACATAAATACAGTAGTAAATACTGTATGTTGGTCTGCAGTTGTAGATTCATCTCCAGTTGTGCTGGTCAAACTCTCTGCCTCCGGGCAGAGAGGATCCCCAGACAAGGCTATGTCGAAGGGTAGAGTCTCGTCTCGGGAAACAGCTACACGATCCAGTTTTATATGAGGTCTACGGGGAATTTTTGACCGAGCCTACGAATTCGAATACACCACATTAAATTCGGCCTTGTTCCACAACTGACCGAGTGGGGCGGTTGGTGGATATCCTAGAGTTGGAGATTCATTGTGGAATTCACTTGACTCACTTCTAGCAGTTGACTACTTCTTCTACGCGCCGCTGGCGAATCTTATATGTGTTGTTCTTGTCCTAAGTATTATCATTCATTACCAATCTTCGCGTGATTATTCTATTCAGAAACCTTGCCAAGTTTCAACAGTCATCAACAGCATCAAAAAACGTTTCGTATGCAAATTTAAATATTAAAAGTTTTACGAAAATGTAGTGTTTTGGGTGGGAAGTCAGTTGGTGAGGAGGAGGTCGTTAATTTGGGAATGAAACGATATTTTTTAATGAAATAAATATTCATATTTGAAACAAATGAAAACAATAGATTCTCAGGTGTTGCCCTATGAAATGCAAATTTGAAACTTTTAAATTTCTAGGAAAACAAACTGATGTTCAGGTAGATTCGATTAAAAGTTTCAAATTTAAACAAAAAAAAAAAAAACATCTTTAATTGTTTATGTCTATTTCTGGACATTTTCCGTTATTACGACTTTTAAAGCTCGTTATAATCAAGAGTGGTCTCCCCTTGTTTTGCTACCCTCCACTTTGAGAAGAGCTATTTCTGTTTACTGGGACTTTAAAAGGACACTATAAGCAAACCTTGTATTCTCACTTGAATAAAGCTTTCTTTTTCACACACACACACACACACACACACACACACACACACACACACACACACAGAGATATGTATATTGTTATGAATAATCAATAGTGGTTTCCCCTTGTTTTGTTACTTTCGTCTTTGAGAGAGTTATTTCTGCTTACTGGGAATATAAAAGGACACTATAAGCGAACCTTGTATTCTCAGTTGAATAAAGATTTCTTAAAGCATACAACTGAGTAATTTTGTTATTACACAAACACACACACACGCACACACATATATATATATATATTGTTATGAATAGTCAGAAGTGGTCTCTCTTTGTTTTGTTATTCTCCTCTTTGAGAGAGTTTTTCTGCTTACTGGGACTATAAAAGGACACTATAAGCGAACCTTGTATTCTCAGTTGAATAAAGATTTCTTAAAGCCTACAACTGACACAAACACACACACACACACATATATATATATATATTGTTATGAATAGTCAGAAGTGGTCTCTCTTTGTTTTGTTAATCTCCTCTTTGAGAGAGACTTTTCTATTTACTGGGACTATAAAAGGATACTATAAGCGAACCTTGCATTCACAGTTGAATAAAGCTTTCTTAAAGCCTACACCAGCGTAATTTTGTTATTACACACACACACACACACATATATATATATATATATTGTTGTGAATAATCAAGCGTGGTCTCTCCTTGTTTTGTTACTCTCCTCTTTGAGAGAGATACTTCTGTTTACTGGGACTATAAAAGGACACTATACGGCAACCTTGTATTCACAGTTGAATAAACCTTTCTTAAAGCCTACACCTGCGTACTTTTGTCATTACACTCGCCTAAAAAAGAAATTACGAGAGAAGGTTAGCAATTATTTGCGGACCGATTTTCAATCAATCGCCATCATCCAACCATAACGCCATCAATTTTGGTTTTCTTTCACCGTCTTATACAATCCGATTTCTTTCACAATAATCTCAGCATTACAAGCGTGGAAACATCATCCGCAATCTCAGAGTAGATAGTTGAGATCTTGGCACCAGGTAGCGTTATTCCACACAGGATCAGGTCCGTTCTTAAATTGTAGGGGAAAAGTCCCATCGGAAGGAGATCATAGACGAACGCAGACAACCTTGATAAATAAATGTAGATAAACAAGAGAAAGTTTTCGATCTTACCTCATTCTTTCATTTCCAACACAACCCCGAGAGGGGGTGCAAACAACAGGCGTATCCTGTAGAGAAAATCCGGCATGAATCTTCCGCAGACATGACAGCTTCTAGGATACGATAGTCAACCCAGTTAAACGTCTTGGACTCATCTGAATTGACCAGTGCGGTTTCAACGTCATCATACTTATTATAAAACCCAGGTTGTGTGTGTGTGTGTGTGTGTGTGTGTGTATGTGTGTGTCTGTACGTTTATATATTGGATCGGATTTCCTACATTTTTCAACCGATTTCAACAAAACTTCACAGGACTGCGTAAAATTACCTTGCGGTGGTTCTGACAGCGCCAAAAATTGGAAAAAACAATTGTTTTTGCACGAAATCAATTTGAAAACACGATTAAGAGGCATCGCAAAAATGAAAGGGGGACAACTCATATCGAGTTATACTTATTATAAAACCCAGGTTGTTTTTGTGTGTGTGTGTGTGTGTGTTCATTTATATATGGGATCGGATCTCCTACATTTTTCAACCGATTCAACAACACTTCACTTTTGTTTTTTGGCAGGTAGTGTTTCTTATTGTCTTGCACTTTTTCTTTATTTTTACATTCAGAATGCTTTTAAAAATTCCATTTACAAGACAATTATTTATAATAAAATTCTATTCAATCGGTAGACTCATAACGATTGAAATGTTTTTTTTGTTTGAGTTTAGGGTTTGACCAATTCGTAAAAAAAAAAAAAAAAAAAAAAAAACAAATAAGACATGCGTGTCCGTCAACCTTAAAAATAATCTTTTTTCAATTTTATTTCTCAGTCTTTATGATGGTCGATACTTGATCTATCTCTTACTGTTATATCCCCGGGCAACGCCGGGCTCTACTGCTAGTATTCTCTAAAGCCACACGTATAAAATTTAGGTTATCTTGGATAGTTCTACTCTTTGCAACACAAATCTTTTTGCAATTGATTTTCCTAATATCTTAAAGGATGAAAATTACTAATCACATTCTCACTGTATTTGTTCTCACATAGCCTGGGGAATTTCTCTCTTGATTCAATCAATTGTTGCCAAGAGGAAAACGTTTCTGCGCCAGTATCAAGTACAAATCGTAAGGGAGTCCATTAATACCTGGGGTTTTGTCCCTTATCAACATTTAACTCTTCCTAATTTTTATCCTCTGTTTTGAGACGATCGCACCTCGTCTCTTCAGTTGCCGTCAAGTGAAGAAAATCGGCGGAAGAAAGTGTCGAATTGAGCAGAGGCGAAATCAGTCAAGTACGAACGTTTAAATATCCGAGAAGTGTTCTAACGGAGGGCGGAAAATGTGACACCGAAATCCGATGCAGCACAGCTATAGCGAAAGATACCTTCCAAAAGCTAAGCAGCGTATTAAGAGACATGAAAATGCCGTTAGAATCAAAGAAAAGAGTGCTGGAGTGTTATGAAATTTCTAGAACACATATTGAGGAAAGTGGGTATGGAGAACCTGACACTCACAGGGTATATTGAGGATAAGAGAGGTAGAGGGGAAACATCGAGTAACCTGCCTGATGAGTTTGTGTAAATGGTTAGCAGAACAGGCAACGGGAGAGAAAGAAAAGATAAACCGTACTAATAGCTACAAAGGATAGGAAATCGGGGAGGGCCATGATTGGCCACGTTCTGAGGGGACACGACACATAAAAGAAGAACGTTTTCCTTTGGAACCAACCGTTGTTTATCCCGAAATATGATAATGGCGAAATGTCGATCCGTGCGGCTACGATATAGATTTATGTCTTGAGAGGGCATTTCTTTAATATCTCGCCTGTAACCATCAGAGTTTGTTTTCTTGTTGTTAGGGGAGGACATTAATATGAAGTAATCCGTCAAAATCGAATTCACAGTGACCGGAACGTTGTGGTAAGGGCAACAAAGATGAGGAATCGATGCTTGTCAGGTATGGTTTAATTACCATGTACAGGGGGCTCCAAAGGTCTTGTTACTCCCCACAAAAAAAGTAATGGAAACAATGGATTCAGTTTATTCACTTTCATTGACGCTGTTGCACATCGAGAAGGTCTGTGTGAACAACCATCATTTTCGTGGCACAAAGCGATGCGGCGCCATGTCCTGTGTGATATTATACGAAGCTGTGCTTTGTTTATTGTTGCAAAGGCTCTCCGAACGGCGTCCTTCATCTGATGGGTATTTTGGTATCGTTCATGTAAAACGCTCTCCTCGATAGTACAGAGCGTTGAAATAGAAAATTATATTATGTAGGGGTGACAAGACTTTCCGACCACCCTGTACATCTAAGCACACACACACATACATATATATATATATATATATATATATTGAAGATTTTACTAGCATCTGTTGGATAATACCAATTTTATTGTTTAAATATTGACTTGTTGATAGTGTCTGTCTATCTATCTATCTATCTATCTATCTATCTATCTATCTATCTATCTATCTATCTATCTATCTATCTATCTATCAAATTGTCTGTTCGTCAAACCCAGTCTGTTTATCTATCTATCTATCTATCTATCTATCTATCTATCTATCTATTCTCTCTCCCACAATCTGTTCACCTATCTATCTATCTATCTATCTATCTATCTATCTGCACGTTCTGTTGAGATTACAAATAGCAGGGAATTAATTCAGATGTACATAGCTCGAATCGTAAAAAGGATAGTTTTTTAAGTTGAATTTTAAATGGTATATTGCTCATATATGGAGTGGTCTGAAAGTCTTGACAACAATATAACAAGTAAAACATTAATACAAAGCACATGTCCTGGATTCAGTTTATTTATTTTTATTGACGCTGTCAAACATTGAGAAGGTCTGTATAAACACCGTTATTTTCGTGGCACAAACTGATGCGGTGCCATGTCCTGTGTGATATTTTACGAAGCTGTGCTTTGTTGATTGTTGCAAAGGCTCTCCGAACGGCGTCCTTCAATTGATGGATATTCTGGTATCGTTCATATGGAACTCTCTCCTTGATAATACCCCTACAGAGCGTTGTCGCAAGACGAGAGGCCTGGACTTCTGGGAGGCCAATCGACAGGTACTGGAAGTTGTTGCGATCCTCGTCCCATCCATCTATCCCGAAAAACTTCATTTAGGCATTTCCGTAACGGTGATAACATAGTTGGGTTTGGGCACCATCTTGTTGAAGTCATTCAGGTCAACATTGAACCTCTGGCGCTGTGGAAGAAACCAATCCCTTAACATAGTGCTGGTTAGTAGAAACCTCGAAGAAATAGAGTCCTCTCAAGTGTTCAGTCGATATGATGGCCCAAACCATTACATATGAAGGGTTTTGTTCCATTTCTTCGTAATTGTGCGGGTTTTCTTTGCTCCAGAAGTAAATATTCCTAGATCGTCTACTCCGGTAAATTGCACATTCATCGGAGAAAAACACCTTTCCATGTTTTGGGATTGCCGGAAAGAAATCAAGTAACCGTTCACGTCTTTTGTCCAGAGTCGTTATCGCTTAGTTCGTTGACGGATGATGGTTTAAACGATTTCAAATCAAGATCCTTTGTCATGTGTGTTAACATTGTCGTTTTGAAAATTCCTCGCTGGGAAGACCGTTTTCGTAGTGACTTTTTGGGTGATGGTAGCGTAGATGCCTCCCACCCCCGCTCGTGTGCCTCTTCGCGTTGAAGGTCGTCCTATAGTCATTTTCTTTTAGCTAATTCGACGTAGTTTGAGTCGTAGAAACAGATAAAACCACTTCCAGGGGCCTAGCAATAGACGAACAAATAGTAACTTTTTGGGTGATCGTATCACAGATGCCTACACCTCTGCACATCTGTGTTCCTTCACGTTGAAGGTCGTCCTTTCCTCGATTTCTTCTTCTATTTGAAGGAGTTGGTTTGCCGAATCTTGCAGTAAAGTCATGTCGTACATTCTCCATGCTCTTGAAAGAATGCACACTGCTTGCAAGCAGCCTCTTTTCCAAACTGTAGGAGATCGTGTTAGCCATTTTGAAATAGAAAATTATATTATGTTCGGGTGACAAGACTTTCGGACCACACTGTAAGTGTAGCACAGTCACAAAATATGAGAAGCGTATAAATTATTGTCCTTCTAACAATTCCCCCGCGCAACACGTTCTGGGATGTTGAGTGAATGTCGAATTCACTACTCTAGTCATTTTCCGCCACCTCCTACCCACCCCAAAAAACTGTCTTACCGAGTATATAAGATAAAGTTGAATACATTGTATTGGCTATAACAGACCTACAAATTATTAACAATTTGATTACTAGTGCAACATAATCTTCATTTTTCAACTTCGTCCTTTATCGTTTGACTGTGTAAAGCAATACCTTGACATGATTTAAAAACCATGATAAACAAGGGTGTGGGTATATATATATATATATATATATATATATATATATATATATATATATGTGGACTCTCCTGTCGTATTCGACGTATGAGGGTCAAGCAGCCCAGTTCTTAGGAATCGACAGCTCAGGCATCTGCATATATGATTTAATTATAATGGTGAAGGATTTGTGCAGAACCATCCACACTTTTTGAAGGGCCGAATACAGAGACCTGGTGGACTAAGTGCCACAAGGACCCAAACGACCCTCCGCAGGTTTTTGAATTCAGGGTTGTTCTTCTTCTTCTAGACCAGTTGCCATCTAATGCTATAGAACCCACTCTGTCCTGCTATTTACCCATAACTGGAGATAGAAGAAATGGATTAATATCTTTCCTAAGGGTATTAGCACATAATTGAATGTAATGGATTCGAGTGGAATTCGAAACCGGGTCACATATTCCTCAATATATATATATATAGCTTTGGAGCGGGTAGAATGGAGATCAACGTGTTTTAGTGGACTCAATCTGCTTGTCTGAATCATCTTCAAGAAGCGAGAGCAAGATCTAAAAGGTCAGCCAATCTAACAGTGATCTCATCTCACAATTCTCACACCTGCTCCATATGTGGCCTCCTTTGTAAATCACTAGCGGGTCTTAAATGCCACTTAAGATTATCGCATAAACTTTCATAACTGAATCAATAAGCTGGCAGATCCTCATACGTCGAAACCGACAGGAGAGTCCATTAATATTATATATATATATATATATATATATATATATATATATATATATATGATTAATACAAATATAAAAAAAATGACACTTAGCCGATTGATTGGTGCATTATGGGTAGTTCTATAAATAAGTAAAATAGAATAATCCAAATCAATAAATAAGTAAACAAATTAAGTAAATAATAAACAAATTAACAAACTACGAATATACATATAAACACAATTAAACGTATTAATAATAATCTACAACGAATAATAAAGCAATAAATAATTAATAAAATGTCAACAAACAACACTATAAAATAGCTAGAAAACTGCACTCGGATGCACAATTATTTCTACTCAGCATCCAGTAAGATAATATGAAACAGCCGTTACCAACCACTCAATAACCGTTAGGATAATACTATATCTACTCATAATGCACCACTGACATGCATATATGAATAGTTGAGCCAAAACACAATACACATGGTCTGAATACTGTCACCACTGGGTTAATTTCAACGTCAACTTATATATTTATACTCACTATCCCTTATATTGAGAATAACACACCACACAGTACAAAAAAAGCCAACAAGAAAAAAATCATATAGTTCATCATACCGTATAAAAAAAAAAAAAAAAAAAAAAGCGTAAAAACAACGTAGGAAAAAAATTCATTACACTCATACAAAAACACTTTCTCTCACAGAGCACTCTCCACAAGATATTCAACAAAATTATAGTAAAAATCAGCTACAGTTGCACCGAGAACATGTCACTAATAATAACAAAGCTCAACAAGAAAATAACCAACAAACCACCCGCACAAAACAACCCCCCCGCCCCGTGTAACTGCAGAGCAATAAACAAATATCCCTTAAACGGCAACTGCTTGCAAAACAATGTAATATACCAAGCTACGGTAAAATGAGATAACAAAGAAAAATATACATTGGAGTAACAGAAGGACACTGAAAATAGAGAAACTACGTACACAAAACATCTTTTACTAACTGTTTTGTTCACGTAAATACGCGAACAGCACAATGAGAAATTAAAAACAAAAACTAAATTACACCAAAAATAACATGGAAAATAGCAGCATACAACAATAATTCCAAAAGCTGTAAACTCTGGCTGGATGGGAAAATAGCTAAAATTACTTTCTCAGACCAACAGAAATTGCTAAATAAACGATCAGAACATATCCCAAAATGCAAACACGGAAAACGCATTTGCTACGTTAGTTAAAAATCAAAAACTCAAAATGAATGAAAAAAAAAAATGAAGTAAAATAAAAAAAATGATAAAAAGAATAAAAAAGAATCCCATTCAATAAATAATTAAACGAATTATGTAAAAATTAAACAAACAAAGTAAATACCAATGCATAAAAAACACATAACCGTAATTATAACAATCAACAAAAAATAATAGTCATCAAAAATAAATAATGAATAAAAAAGTTAACAAACAACACTATAAAATAGCCAGAAAATGCATCGGGAACGATAATTATTTCCGCCCAATAGCCCATAGAATAATTATTATCGCCCATCAAAAACTTTACATTAGACCTAGCCATAATGCACCACTGACAAGCATATATAAATAGTCGAGCCAAAACACAATACCCATGGCTTCAGGATTGCGTTTAAACATTAAACAGATGGTTGCCGCTGGGTGTTGACCTTATTATTAAATTTTATATGTATATTTATAGACGCTCTATCCCTTATATTGAGCAGTTAAATTTAGCGTACCTTGAAACTTTACTATTATATATATATATATATATATATATATATATATATATATATATATATATATATATATATTGACAAATATTGTTAACAAAAAGATATAAGTCTATACAAGGACGACGGTCTATTAATCCTAAGAAACTGCAACGGCAGATATATTACAACTGCTGATCTCCTCGAGGCGGTGTAATGGTTAGCAAGCTTTTCTCACTAGAACAATTACGACTGAGTAGTGAGTTCGATCCTTACCGGGTGCCCCATAGTTTCGGTCTTGTGCCACACCTAAGCTACACTTGGAAAATCATTACAACTGCTGATCTGTTCATTGTGTTGTGATGTCCTCCCTCTAAAGAGTCTATGTTGGACTCTTCCGCCTACTATAAGATTAGTTGGAGAGAACGGTCGACCAGACTGTTCGAAACTGTCGAACTCTCTGCCTCGGCAAAGAGGAACTCGGACAAAGCTTTGGCGCAGGGCAAAGTTTCGTCCGGGGAGGTAGACAGTCCCTGAACCCGTTTGGGCGGGTTCAAAGGGAATATTTTTGGCCGAGTCTAAGGGCTCGGAGTACCCACAATAAACCGGCCTTGTGCCACATACACCCTCGTGGAGGGCTGTTAAATATTAACGGTCGACCAGACTGTTCATTTCTGTCGAACTCTCTGCCTGTTAGATATTAACAGTAGCATAGATTGTTCAACTGCCAAACTCTTCGCCTCGGTGGAGACGAACCAGGAGGCAGCTTTACCGCAGAGCAAAGTTTCGCCTGGGGAGGTAGACAGGCCCTGAACCTGTTTAGGCGGCTTCAAAGGGAATATTTTTGGCCGA